TGGGTGCGGCTCGTCCATTTTTCAGGAATCGTACCCAAAATGGCGCTTTCCGGTTTTTCGGGTTTTACTTTAAACTCCGAAGTCAAGTGGTTGTGTTTTTAGTGGACCCACCAAAATGGCGCGATGTTCCTTTTGAAGTTTCCATTTAGAGCCATCCAAACTTGTTCTGCGGATTGACACACCCAAGAATCCGCCACAGACCGGCATAGCGCCTAAGAGGAAAGTGCAGAAGAAGGAGAAGAAGACAAAATCCAAGTCGGAGGTGGCAGAGCAGCCGCCAGCGTGCGTCACCGCACGCGCGAGCGCTGAATAGCCCACCTCCATCCGCTTGCCGCCGACGACGCAAGCAGAGTGATGGCCAGGCACAGCTCATCGTTGACTCGTTTGTGGCAGGGGCCCCCATTTTTGTAGCTCTATGCTCATCTTCCATTTGTTTAAGAATATTTGTTTATTTTCCCCTGTTGGTTTCAAAAGGAATCAATCGATCACTACTGGAAAAGGTATTTTCTCCCAACAGCTGGAAGCTTTGGGGTCTCAGCACAGATAGGCTCCGGGGTGGTCCGGGGCGGCCCTGAGGAAGGTTCCGCGAGGGTTCCACCAGGGTTCCACCAGGGTTCCACCAGGGTTCCACCAGGGTTCCACCAGGGTTCCACCAGGGTTCCACCAGGTTCAAGAAACCAGCTACATGAATTGTTGAAACTGAGGCAGGAACCCTTTATGTTTGCCAGCACTATCCTCCGCTGGGAGCCAGAACTTGGATCCACCAAACAAGACAGGGAGAGAGACAGAAATGGAGAGAGAATAAGACCCCCTGTCTGTTCAACTAGGTCCCACAGGAGTGCCCTTTTACCTTTTTTTGACTAGACGTCCAGAAAAAAGTGGGTACCCTGATTCTAACCTCTCCAATCTGGAGGACCTAGAAGAGGAGAACAGAGAGATAAGCAAACCACAAAGAATGCCCCCCTTGTCCCATCTTCAATGAAACCTACAACAAAAGTCCAGACATTTTGCCCAGGGCCCTGGAGCCAATCCTTGGCCACTGGAGTTGGCCCGCTCCCAGGTCTCGGTGGACGCAGGCCAAGCGTCACGCGCTGGGCGTCAGCGAGATCGTGTGCGCCGGCTCAGAGCGGGAGCTGGGAGCTGGTGGCGAGCGGGCGGGTTTCTGACGGAGGGAAAACGGGCAGGGAGTGAGCGCCTTAATTACCGCCTTACCTTAGAGGAAACGGTGGAGATATGGAGGTTTCCAGCCAGGTAGTTGTGGAACAAATCTGTTAATATTGACCCAGGATTAATAAACCCGTCCCATGATTAGAGGGGTGTTCCCTCCAAAAGTGGTCTGAATCCCCACGAAAAGAAAACACCCCCCTATTAGTCAACCAGGGGTTTATTAATCCGGGGTTAGCATTGCCACCTTACCTTCGAGGAAACGGTGTTGCAAAATGGAGATTTCCAGCCAGGTAGTCTCTGGGGACGGATCATGAGCGCCGTACCAAGGAGCAAACGGGTTTCCAATCACCAGCCAGTACCAGGCTGATCGAAGACGAGCAGGGAATGGCCTTGGTGCAGCACACGCCAATTCGGCTCCGTCTTTGCTGCGTGATGAGGGCGGAGCAGGGAATGACCGTGTATCTACTTACCAACGAGGAAACGGTGGCAAAATGGAGGTGTCCAATCACCAGTCAAGTAGTTCTTCAAGTTCCCGTTGCAGGTAATTATACAGGCGAAGCCATGCAACACCTAGTGGTACACATACCGAAGGGTTGCCAATTATAGTTCTGGCTGAAAGAACTGGGGATATAAGCATGAATTGGTTTTGATATGATGTTCCTCCTGGAATACTTGGATTTTTTAAACACCGGGGGAGGGCAGTTTTAGGATGCCCTAACCGTTGAGGTTTCACCTAGCGCATTTGCAGTGACTTGGTGGAAGATTTTTGCAAACACGTCATCCATATGTTATTGGCACTTTGGAGACCTTGTGTTTCGCAAATCAATCCTCTTCTCTTCTGCCGAATGGTATTTGTGTTAGGAAATGTTGGGCCAATGTTTTGGTGTTTCTGTGGAACTTTTACCAAAATTCCCGCCGTTTCCCTTGAGGCGTCCCACTGAAAAAAGGATTCCCCGGCCTTGGCCAGGTACGTGGCGTGTAAAATGCCGCTGCCTCAGCCTTCAGTGCTCAACGAACGGCCGCCTGCACTTGTTGGTTTCTGACTTCTTGTTTGTTTGTTTGGTTGGGTGGTTGGTTGGTTATCTGTCTGTCTGTCTGTCTGTCTGTCTGTCTGTCTGTGTGTGTGTGTGCTTGCTTGCTTGCTTGCTTGCTTGCTTGCTTGCTTGCTTGCTTGCTTGCTTGCTTGCTTGCTTGCTTGCTTGCTTGCTTGCTTGCTTGCTTGCTTGCTTGCTTGCTTGCTTGCTTGCTTGCTTGCTTGCTTGCTTGCTTGCTTGCTTGCTTGCTTGCTTGCTTGCTTGCTTGCTTGCTTGCTTGCTTGCTTGCTTGCTTGCTTGCTTGCTTTGTGTGTTTCACCCTTGTGAAAGGGTCCCTGAAGCAACTGACTTGCTAAGTACCCGCAAAATGTATAACAAAAACACATTGTCTCAACGTAGGGGACCCCCAAAGTTAAGATGGGTGGTTTCCACTTCGTTTACTTTTGAAACATGCCCAAGGGTACCTGCAAACAAGACAAACCATAGTATGCTCTGATTTGGTTTGGCACCGGGTCATTGGCTCAAACCCCAGTGTAGTCTGATATGGTGTTCAATTTGCTCACGACCTCACCTTGGGGTGTGCGACCTCATAGAGCTTGCTTCATGGGTTTTTGAGCTCATAGAAATCTCGCGGCCAGATGTTTAGCATGAGATGCTCGGCATTTGAGGTTTCGAAACCACAATGCCATTCTGGTCAGGCTTGTTCTTTTGGACAAGTAGTTCCCCCCGTTTGACAGATTTGGTTTTCACTGGTGCCATCTTTGTGACCACGCAGCTAGGGTGTTTGGAAAAAACATGATCCAAAGGAAAACATAGTACAAGGGGCTACATCATCACGAAAATAATACTATAGTCATGACTGGAGTCGGTTTTTAGGTACCCCAAGCACCTCATTCGAAGTATTTCGCCCCTTGAAAGAACTCTCCAGGGTGTCATGTCAAGGTGACTGCATCAAGCGCTTCACGGATTGGGAGACGTGCTTCAACCTTTTTAGTGCCTGGGTTTCCATTGCAACGCCTTGTTTAAACGTTGAGGCAGGCCGAGTAGAAACCCTCTTTTGGGGCATTCCTTGGGTGGGAGACTTACGTTCTGACGCCGTCTCTGCCTGGCTGAGGTACATCGGCATGTGCGAGCCGGGGCCTGAGGGCCTTTTCAAAGCAAATGCTCGGTGAGAGGCCATCGGCCTGAAACCGAACCAAGCGGAAGGTGTTGGGAAAGCTTGTGATGAGAGCTTCTTTCCTTGGGGGGTACTTTTTGCAGCTTGGTAAATTATAACTTCCCTGAGGAGAGACATAGCCTACAATGCAGGGCATCAAGGTTCTTTCAAGCTGTTCAGAAAATTCCCCTGGTCCTTTGCAAGTGGGGAAAGGTTGCCTGCTTGCCACCGGGGCGAGGATAAGCTGTACCTCATCACGCCAGGGACGCATCCCTGGTGCCCATTCGGTTTCCCGACCTTGGATTTTCTTGTTTTCCCGTTCTCTAGGTGTGAATTGCCATATTTGCCAAAAAATGTTTTTTGGGCTCTGCACAATTTCTGAAATAATTCCTAACAGTATATCCATTTCTGGGTCTAGAGGTTCTGTATGCGGGTGTCGCTCGCTCTCGCGCAGGTGTGGAAACCTGCAGCGAGCGGTGGTGTTCTGCTATCGCCCGGGGCCTTGGTGTTGAAAGCTGAGACGCTCGGAGTTCGGAGTTCGGCGGGTTCCCCACATGGCCATGGGTTGCATAACCTATGGCGATCCCATTTTGGGGTGGATGAACATGCATTTGCCACCTATTGATGTTCACCAGGGGTACAGGGTTTTGACCCCAGCCATATGGGTGTGTCATTTTCGAGGGTACGCTCTTGGTTGGCTTTTAAGGAGAACAGGAAACCGTTGCCATTGTTGGGGCTCCGATTCCTATTTTGAGACATATGAACGCCGAGACGGCGATTTGTTGGGTCACCGGGCAACTGGGACCTGGATCCAAGGCTTACCTCTTGACCTCTTGGGAAAATGAAGAGACCTAGACAGGGGAATCAAAGACACTGGTTGTTAGCCAAGGGAAAACCATAGGCACAAGAAGGCTGCTGAGGGCGGGCCGAGGCAGACATGGTGTGTCATTCCTATTTAATCCGCTGGTCCAAGTGTTACAAAGTGCTGGCCGTGCGAAGCTTTGCCCGGCCGGCTCCGAAGGTACAAAATAGAAGACCTTTATCGCACCATGGGACGGGCAAATCGTTCCTCCGGTAGCATTTTGCAAGTGTCGTGGTGCCACAGGTAGGCAAATTCTGGAAAGCATATTTTTCAAGTGACCTTCAACTTCATTCAACTTGGCCATTGCGCTGACGTGTTGCCAAGGAAAGAGCACTGCATACCACGGTTCAAGCTATCATTTGTGAGGGCGATGGTCTGAAGGTCCTTGCAAGCATCTGTTGAGGGGACTTTGGGAGGCTTCTTCCCTAGTTTCAAAAGGACCTCAGAGCTCTTTTACAATAGGGCTCTTTGGGGTGGAGGAATGGTCAACCAAAAGTTTGGACTTGTCCAGCGAGCGAGTGAGGAGTCAACTAAAATTATTAAGAGTCGTTTTCCGTGCAAGAGTCATTCACAAGTCATTCCTTGTGTGTCCATTCACTAGCGACATCCCTCTCAACATCACCATATATCACCATATATCACCATGCATTTTCTGGTGGATGAACGGGGTCTGCCACCCCAAACATCATTTTCAGGCGCGGTCCCTCTGCTTTGGGGGACCCAGCGCCACCGGTCTGGGAGTCAAGACGGTTTCGTCGGTGACGGAAGCAAGCAGCGAGGCATGTTGCCGCTCCTGGGGAAGTTTGTCTCAGTGCACTTCGTGGTGGCCACGCTGGCAGCTGCTCGACCCAAAAATGAGGCTCAAAACCCGGGGATTAATGAAGCTTATTAGTAAGGGAGAATCCCCTTGCCGTAAATAGCTGCGGATATCCGCCTTCTTAATTCTTGAAGCATGGTTCTGGGTAGACCATTCTAAGACCGGGTTTTGATTAGGACTCAAGTGGCCCGGAGCCATGACCCAACCCCAAAGGCATTCCATGGCACTCCCTGCACAATTTCCTGCAATGGAAGCCAGGGTTTATAACGAAATTGGTTCAAACGCCCAGACCCTGGTCCCAATTGAAATCCTGGGTTTTTGTTGAAAGGAAGCCAGCTGGAGGTTGCTGTAAACAATCAGCCTTACTATTTAAGATGTCTAAATTACCTACTGACCGGAACTAGGGACACTGCGGGTCCCTCAAAGTGGCTGGTTCAAGTTTTGCAGAAAGGGGCACGTCAACGCTTAGAGCAGCAGCCCCGGATTTCTGAGTTTGATGATGACATCGTTTATCAGGCAAATTACAAGGCTCCAATTTGATCATGATTTCGGTTGGCCGAAGAGAGCGGAACAAGGAAGGCACCGGTGAGGAGAATAGACCTGTGTCTGGTCCCATTATTCTGCGGGGCACAAAAATGCATCTCCTACAAAAGACATTGCACACGGGGAACATTACCGACTTGAACATATTTGGAACGTTCCGCGGGCGTGTCTTTTGGTTTGAGGCACCCTTTGTGCGGCGACGTATCAGAGTCCAATCGAAACCTCCTCGAGCCTCAAGCCGAGTTTTGGCCGCTCCTGTCCCACGTTCTCATCAACTTCTACATGTGGCACTCCTGGTGCTACATTGAGGACCTCTCGGCGATTGGGCGGAGGAGGTTCAGCGCTCTTTGGACAGAGGTCCCCTGAAAATGCTCAGAGCGGGCGGAGGCTAGTTGGGTGCCCGCCCAAGTTAGTGATTGTTTGTCACCTTGGTTATAAGCGACTTGCAACTGGCCCAACTCACTGAGTAGGTCCCAGGTGGCGATCACCACTTACCAACTTGGCGAATCCGAACATCCAAGCAAGAAACATGCTGAGTCGCCTAAAGTGTCTCACTCCCTGCGTTCCGTTTCCCGGACCCTTAGTCACCTTCTTGGGCTTGGGAAGACAAAGATTTAGTGGTAGAGAAAGAACAGGTTCCTTTCTTGGCCGGAAGTGAGTCAAGGGCGTTCCTTTATCCTTTAGGTTTAAAAAAGGGGAATCAGGGAAGCTCGCAATCGGGCACAAGGTTGGGCCCCCTGGAGCAATTGTTGTTCAAGTGGGGTGGGGACGAAAACCCAGTTGTTTCGGGTCCCCTTGAGCAATGTTTTCTTCACACAGCCCATAAAAGGGTTCTAGGTGACCAACAGCAGGTGTTTCTAGGTTTTCTGAACGCCAGGTTTCTGGGTCTTCTGGGCTTTCCCAGTTTAGGCTGGCTGGGTTCTGTGCTTTATAGCCCATGACTAGCGCAGAAAATGGAGACATGGTTGTTCCCATACGTTCGGAGACCTGTGTGACACCCTCGCCTTGTATGATAATCAAAGCCCAACAGATCGAATGGGAGCAACCCAACACATGGTTGAGGTGGCCACTTTCAGTGATACCAAGGAATATGTTTAAAGCAACAAACTTTTCACGGGAATGGGAATCTCATTTTTTTGATATCACCTGGACTTTAGTCCATTTAAGTGGTAGATAAACAAATGTCAGACTTCTTTCAGCCAGTCCACTCAGGTGAGGGGAAGACCAAACATCTGGTTGAATTATAACGACCTCACACGACCTACCCCAAATGGTGGTTTATGTGAGGAAGAGCAGCTATTCCCCCCAACCGCCTTAATTTAGGTTGGTGAAATTATAATTCACCCAGAAACGGGCGCTGAGATCTTCCGAAGGATCTCCCGAAGACCTGTGCCGAGTGCTGCGTGCCCATGGCCACCGTCACGGAGATGGGCATCCGTGAGGAAGGGCATCGACCGCTCGGCAAATGTGGTTGCAGTTTTTGAGGTTGCAGTGGTTATCTTTGAGTTGCGGAACATAACCAAAAGGTTGCAGTCTTTGAGGAACACAACCAAAGGTTGCAGTCTTTGTACCCAAAGAAGTGGTTGTGTTCCTGTGGTTTTCCTTTAAACCAACCCCTAAAAGGGTATCCTCGCCCCCTAGGTGGCCACACACATCATGGGGAAGCATGAGCATCACCTGTTGGTTTCAACCATTACCTTCAGGTTGCCATGTATGTTGCGTTTCCAACTAGGAGGTGTGGAAGGTGTCGAGGCGCTAGAAGGGAAACTGAGGGAATAGAACCCCTGGCATGGTGCCTTTTGCAATCAGCCGGGAAAAACCTGCGGTCAGGCTTGATATAGGGAAACATGGGCATACGTATATATATATATACATCCCATATCCCATCAAAAAGAAAAATAATCTAGAGATGAGAGCACGGAAAGCAAAACCCCGTCTGCGTAAAGGGAAACCAACAGCTTTAGCAAAGGCCAAGTAAAAGTGTGTGTGTGTGTGTGTGTTTTGATGTTTAGCAAAATAAGGTGGACATGTGTGTAGTTTTTAACTCTAATTGCAATAATCCAACTCATGTTCAACTGGGTCCCTTCAAGTGGGCTGACGGGACCCGTTCTCAAAAGCACGTCGGGGATGGGCAACCCCCTTTACCGCTTTACACTCTTAGGCCACCGTTTAGCGAGAATTTGGACCCAGTACAACTCATGAAGCTGTCCCTACCACCCACCAAAACACCACCCCCCTGCCCCCCGCCAACACACCTACAGTTGTGGACAATTTTCATATGTTTCAGGTTCCCTGAAAGGGGCATCTAGACTTCTTCAAGATGGAACTGCTCGGAGGACACCTTTAACCTTTGCGGGTTCGAGTTGTAGCTGCACCCTGCACAAAGTGTTGCTCTGAATTTTGTATGATAGATATATGTGCATGTGTACACAGCAATTGCATGAAGAAAAGTCAATTATCACGATGACATTTATGGCCCAGAGGTACATGAGGTAGGTCCCCATGTAGTCAGTTGCATGTTGTACATTCAAGTCATTGCCAAAGCATGATTCAATCACTGCTTTGGCTCAAGTGCTGAAAACAGCGCGTTGCACCGCGCTAGCCCCAAGGTCAAGGGAGAGGTCGCAGTCACGGAGGGGTTCGTTCCTTTTAAGGTCCCGGGTTCCCCCGTTGTTGACAAAACTGTGTTTCCCTCTCCTTTGAGTGGTTATCAGCCGTAACGCTTTTCGGGTAAACGAACCCTTCCGTGACTGCGACCTGTTGGTCGCACATGGAAGTCGGCCCTCACCGCGGCACACGCGGTGGGAAAGGGCCGCGTGCCCGATTGTACAACACTCTGCAACAGATCGTCGTCGACGAGTACAAGCGGCAGAACAGACGATTCCGGTGGGTCAGGTTTGCGGACGCCTCGAAGCAACAGGTCGAGGCGCTCTTCTCCTGGCGTGAGTCACTGGATAGTTGGCACCTGTGGAATTTTGACCAAGAAGCCTTCGACGTGATCCAGGCCGCGGACAACGCTTATCAGCAGCGTCTCGCATTGGTTGAAACCACAGGAGTGGTCTTGCCGCAGGGTGTGCCATCTCAGGATCAAGCCGCAGCCTCAGGCGCGGCGGGAGCATCGAGCAGTGCAGCGGACTGGCTTCGTCCTCCGACGCCTCCATCAGCTTCCTCCTGGTTGCAAGATTCGCGCACTCCTTTGCCTCGCATTCGGCCATCTGCAGAGGAAAGACAAGCCGCAAAGTCAACTCTTCGCGGGGTATACGCTAAAGCTGCGGAAACGCGGCGGGAGAGCAGCAGGGAGCGATCAACACAAAGATCGAGGTCCCCATCGCCAAGAAGGTCGAGGTCTCCATCAACATCACCGAGACGAGGACCAACTGCTGCTGCCCCTGTGGAACCACGGGCCCATAGTGTTGAACCCGCGCTTGCGCGGGAGGGAAGGCCATCCAGAACTTCCCTAGCCACTCGGCCCATCGTTTTGGCTCCACAGAATAGCATTTACCCTGTGACGAGGTTTGACGAACACGGTACCTGGGTATTGGTGCGGGAGGCATCACAACCACGTGAAGCGGCTCCTCGTCGGCGAGCGCAACGGACGTCTGGGCAGCTTCGCCAAGCCGATCCTTACCTCCTCGCTGACGAGACGTGGAGGGACCCGCCAAGGAGGTCCTCCACGAGCTCACGCTCACGGTCTCCTGACCGCCGCCCGGCGCCTGCGGAAACCTTCCGCCTCGACGCCTACAGCTCGGACGAGGACCCACCGCAAAACTTGGAGTCCATCAGGACGGGCAGGTCAGCATACGTGCCTCGGCGCGTTTACGAGGCGCCGACTCACTCCGAGCCCATCGCGCTTCACAGCCGAAGAATCGGGGCAGTTCAACCGCCGCCCCCAAAGGCCGCTCCCAAGGTCATCTTCGGCAGCAAGCCACCGGTGCCCAAGGAGGTCCCCAAGGCAGTTTCTCCAGCGCCTGCAAAGGCAGACATCCCGAGGAAGTCACCGCCAAGGGCCAGATCTCCGGTTCGGACTCAGAGTGCATTCGGTTACAAGGCACCTCCGCGAGGCTTGAACAAGGCCGAACCCAGAAGCAAATCGAGCTCAAACCCGCCACAATTCGGGTACATCGTCAAGCCGCCGCCTCCGCAGGTCGTTCAAGCAGCTGCTGCTAGCGCTGCAACTCCCGAAGCTGGCACGCGATTCCGCTCGCCACCAAGGAGGGCACCGCCTGCGCCCCCGCCGCCACCACCTCCGCCTGGAAGGCCGGTGCCGCCCAAGGAGCTTGTTGTTGCTCTTGACTGGCACGGAGTTCTTGACGTTGGGCAGCAGGGACCCCACCTCAACCCGGAAGTGATCCGACATCTCGTTCAGTTTGCAGCGGACTACGCACCTATAAATTTTATAGTGCTATCCTTCGTGGGCAGGGCTGCAAGCGAGTATCGCCGCCGCGAATTTCAGGTCGCCCTGGAGCACGCGCGGACAACATCTGGACTCACTTTTTCTGCGATAAAAATCGTTCACGAACGGTTGGGAAGGGGAGGCAAAGCAGACGCCCTGCAAGGGCTGGGCGTACACGCCCTTATTGACGATACAGCATCGATTGTCCGTGAAGCTCAAAAGACAGGCATCGCGGCGTTCCGCAACTTTCCGCACTTCGGTCCGAGCGGATTTGCCAACGCGCTTGAGAACCTTGGTGAGTTCATCGAGTCCCGGAACAGACAATCCATTCCGGCGGCAAGGGGCCTGCATCCATCGCAGTACCTCGAGGAGATCCACCGATCTGCATCCCAGCTGCCCGCCAGCCGGGTACTTCGATAGCCATTGCTGCAAGCCGTTAAAACCGTCGCTTTGCGCGGTACAGCTTTTGCAATTACAAGCCTTCGATTTGCAGACAAATTCTCAATACAGCTTGGCAACATCCCTCGATAAAGCACCATAGTGCGGCAGTGCGGATCAATCAATCTACAAGTACAATTACAAATACAGAATTCATCAGGTGCAAAGCAGCAGGGCGCATTTTCTTGAGTGGCTCACTTGAGCGTTTCGCAACGTATTTTCTTGAGTGGCTCACTTGAGCGTGTCGCAATCAGCTGCCAATCCAGGGATATCTCCTCGTAGCACCTTTTGACACGCTGCTCAAAGCGCGTGGAGCTAGCTTCGTGTGAGTGCAAAAGTTGCATTGCTGTGTCATGGCTTCAACGGGTTTGTCACCGCCATCAGAACCCCGTTCAAGGTCAACCCCAAATAGGGATTCCGAACCGGATGACCCTGACCTAGCCATGGTTCCTGCAGTTATGTCCACAGTTCGCACATCCACACCTCAAAGAGCAGCCCAAACACGACCATCATCACCCCCGAGTGGTCCGATCGTGTCAGAACCGACATCATCCGAAGCTTCCCCAGCCATTCAGTTTCCTTCACAGGGATCGCAATTACCTGACCCGATGACTAACGTACCCGCTGCGGCATTTATAGCTGGAGCTGCGGTGCAGCAAGCTCATCGAGCATCCGACCTCGCTGCTCAGGCAGCCAATCACGCCTTGCATCAACAGCAGGCCGCCGATCAGGCGAGACAAGAGGCCGGATGGATCAGGGAAAGGGCTGTAAGAGAAGTTTCAGACGTTAGGGTTCAGGCCGCTCAGCTAGCTTCGCAAGCACAGCAGGCTGTTCAAACAGCACAACAAAGTGAGGCTCAGGCTAGGCAACTCATTGAGCAGACACGACAGGAAGCCTTAGGCCATGTCGAGAACGCACGACAGGTTGTTAATGCCACTCAACAGGACGCTCAGCAAGAGGTTCAACGCATTGTTCAAGAGGCTCAACAGGCAATCCTACAAAGGGAGCAAACCATTGCCAGTCAAGAGCATACCATTCGTGGATTGTCCCAGGAAAATTCTGTGATGCATCAACGACTTGGTGATCTCGAACGTGTTGTTGCGCAGCTCACCCAACAAGCTCGTGCGACCCCTGTTCCGATGCAAGAGTCCCCGCCGAAAGCCGCATCAATAGCCGAAACAGCTACGGAAACAAGCGCGGCTAAGGCCTCAAGTCAAGGCACAGTTCCCCCAGGAACCCATCAGCCGGTTGGAGCACCTCAGGTTTCAAGTTCACAAGATGCCTCCGGTGTTGCCGCATCGTCGCAAGGGAATGCTTTTACAAGTACTATCCCCGACCCTCCGTGTGGTTCTGTTCAAAGTACAGGACTTGGTCACGATGCCCCAGCTGATTCAAGGGACCCTGGTGGGGGTGCAACAAGTCAACATCTCGTAGGCCATTCGGCAGTGCTAGGAGCAGCGTCCTCTGTTGGAGACGCAGCCCCCGGCGCGTCGAGGACTAGCGGGTTGGGTAGAGACGGTTCAAGGGATCAAGCCGATGTGAGAGTGCAAGTGACGGCTTTAGCGGAAATGGTTCAGCAGCTTTCCCAATTGGTTGCTAGTCAAGTGGCTC